AATAGAGGTATTAATTACGTGCATCTGTGGGATTAAAAAAATATTTAAAGCTCCAAACAATATACTTCAGACATAATAAATACGTTTAATTTTCTGTTAGATATTAATAATCCTACCTCTATTACATTGTTTGCATAACAATTTATTATTTCATATAAAGAAATAGTATCGATGTGATGTAATACTTAAAAGGAAATAGCACGTATACAGAGTTTAAAAATTATCAAAAAATATCATGTATGGAAAACTTATTATTTTTATAAAAAATTTACAAACTATGTAATTATAATAGTAACTTAAGTTTATAAGATAAACAAAATCTTCATATTTATAAAGATAATATCTAGATTCTTAATTCACTTAAGATTTTGGAATAATAATAAAAATAAATACATTAATGTAGATGAACAGTTTTTAGAGCCATTTAGTCTATGGCATTTAAGCATAGAGTCTAAAACAAATACGTCCTTCGGAAATAGTTGAAATTAGGTTATAATATGTGTTACGTGATTTTCATTAACTAATATTTCAAATTCTTACATTGTGTTGATTAAGAAAATACGTAGTGTCTCTCTCTCTCTCTCTCACCGCACATTATGTAGTGACCTTAGAAATAAATTATATAATACCTAAATGAATTTTATCAAAGTAAAAAATTTTAATTTTTGTCAGATAAATTACACGAAAAGAAACCTCACATACTTATAAATTGTTACGGTAACTACATTAAAAACTGTAATATCAGTAATAAATTATAATTAAAAAAATATATCATTGTATGAAAATTCTATATTAAAGAGAACAAACCATTAAAATTTTATATAAAATATAATATTTATTGCAAACATAAAGGAAAACATATTTATTAATAAGAAATCTATGACTTCTAATAATAACAAATTTAAATTGGTGATAAAGTCATTATAGTTTCATCAAATTTTAAATGTAATGTAAAGAAAAGTCAAAAACCTTATGTAGTTATAACTAAGAAATAGTTACTATGAAAAAAAGAATTAAAAATAATTAGTGGAGTCATTTTTTTTACCTTACATGGTAATTTAAAAAAAAAAACATGGGTATATAAACAAGAACAAATTAGAGTAACGTTAGTAATGTTACTGGAAAAGGTCATATAAATTGTAAAATATAAAAAAAATGAATTTGTAACTTCCAATAACAAATAAATAGAAAATTAAAACAATATTTAAAATCAAACCATGTATACAAAGTTTGTGCATATTTAGAAATACAATATATATATATATATATATATATATATATATATACATAATAAGATATAGAGCAACTATTTATATGTGAATCAATATCTTTCAGTTAATAGAATTTAGTTATTTACAAGTTAAAAACAAAGAATAACGATCGAAAATAACAGCAATAATAAAGTACTAGTATAATGCGAATTAATTAAGTGGATTCATCAAATTATTGTCTAAATCGCACGTATAATTCACACATATAATAATTAAATAGAATATCTAAAAATATTTTTGAAGAATAATAAGTAACTGAGAAGAATGTAGGAAATAAATTTTAAATTTATAATTTCAATTATTCATATATATATATATATATATATATATATATATATATATATATATATATATATATATGTTATATTTATATTCTATGTTTATAAACAAAAATGAAATAATTAAATTACATGTGCAATAACAAAATTAAAATAATGAATTCAATAGACAGAAGTAATAATATTCAATATAATTTGCATTTATTTCAATTTTTAATTAGCTAATTTTAAGAGACTTCTTTGTTTGCATCTCTACGATGTAAGTACATTAAAAGGCTTATCTATAATCTTAACTAGTATAAGCAAAATAAAAAAAAATAAATTTAAGAATTTGATTTTAAACAAAAAATTATGATTTTAAAAACTTAGAAATTCAGATAAATTTAAACCTAAACACTATGTAGCAATATATTATGAGGTACAATATTTTAAAAGTAGTAATATAATAAAATTATAATAAAATATATTAAAAAGTTGCGATCGTACTAAAATTATTTTATAATGCAGTTTTTTTTATCAATGTTATTAAATCATTTTTAAATAATAAAACATCAATAAATAATACAACATAAAGTTAAGAGTTTTTGTTGTCCTCACTAACAATTTCATTAAATCTGTGTCTATGTAGTATTCAATATATTGATCTAATAGCTCTTTTTTACAATTATTTTAACGTTTGGAAAATGTAATTATATGTTCGGTAAACATAGTGAAAATGATTCATTTTATTACAATTAAGGATGTCTAAAGATCATTGCATAAATATTAGTATATTTACTATGTTTTGTAAAAAAATTAAAATATAATGACAAGAATCAAAATATATTTACAAGCATAATTGTTTATATAAATTATTATATTATATTATTGATAACCTATTGATAAATTTAAAATACAACATATACTTTAAATAATCATTTAATTTAAAAAAAGTAATAAAGCAAGTATTGATTTTATGAAAAATACAATATTGCTAAACGTAAACTACTAACAGAAAGCAATAAAGATAAAAATAAAAAAATGAAACCTTTTATATCATACAAACAATAAATAATTCATCTTTTAATTTAAGGTATAAATTAATGTATGATAATGATAACTTGTAATCTTCATCTGAAAAATTCATAATTATAAATCTAAGTAAACAAACTATTGGAATATTTGATAAGATAATCATTTGTGGAGAAACCTTATATATAACCTCTATTAGTAATAATATTATTCATTATATTAGTGGTAATAGTAGTTAAAGACATTAGTAAATTATTAAATAAATTAGTTCTATTTTTTATAAAAATAATAATATGATATATTAGATATCAACCCAATCATACTAATATGGGCACTAAAGATTAACAATAAAACAATTAACAATGAAATAGTAGTTAAAAAATACTAATAAAAAAAATATAAAGGCTAAGAAGGTAGTAAGTAGTAGAACTAAGAGAAAAACAAGACTGTTTTACATCGATGAAATCTTATTACTGAAATATCTTTACCTTCTTTGTAGCTTATATAAGTTGTACAGAAATAATAACAGTATATTGTGTATTTCTTATAATTCGATAAAAAATAATAATTTTAGTTATGAACTGTTTTAATTGATTTGATAATTTCAAGTACTTTAAGATGTTCACAATGATATATTATTTTGAATAATGTATAGCAATTTGAACTGTTACTAACAGCAATAGTAGATTATATCTAAACTTATATTTAGCAACAACAAAAAAGTTATTTAATCTGATCATTGAGTTTATTTTTGGAAAGAGACAGAAAAATTATATTCAGATAGATAAATCCACATTATAAAATACAATGTGTAAAAATTAATCATATTGTATAATATTCCTTAAGAACCGTATATAGTTAATAAGAGTAGTTAAATCTATTACAAAAAATGAATAATTATATACACTCAGTACATTTGTATTATCTAGCTTTAAATAGATTGGATTATACATTTAATTAATGAATCTGCATTTACTTCGATTAGATGTCTCACCTGATTTGCTGTTGACACAAAAAGTTTAATATGTTCGACTTTCTCTCTTCTTCTCCTCTTTCCCATCCCTTCATTCCCTTTTCTCTATCTAATTCTATATATATTTAATTATCTGATATTTTTGTCCATGTTCTTCATTAGAAATATGTTTATTCTTTTGATTCTATTTTTGATTTTTTATCACTCTTGTACTATAAATGCTTTAATTTCTACACATTGCTTTCCAGCATTTTCTTTCCTAACTGTATTTGTCTTTTCGTTTTACTTTTCATACTCATAATTAAAGTAGTACAAATTACTTTTCATTTATTTGTTAATTTTCATCTATCATCAAATTAAGTGTTGGATAAATTTCTTCTGTTAATGGTGCTTAAGTACTTGCCCTGATTTTATGAAATTACAACAATATGCGATTTATTTAAAAGCATTATTTTTAACAATATTTACATTTAAATTTGATGAATATTAACAAATGTTATTATTAACATCAATTAAAAAAGTTTTTAGTTTGAGAAAAATATTGAAAGCTTCTATGAAATTTTTTGTTTTACAAATAATTTTCTTCTTATGAATTAATACTTATTAACTGAATTTAAAATACGACATATTAAAAGAAAAAATTGTTTATATTTTTATGAATACTAATGAAGTAAAAAAAGTTTATAACTACTTCATTATCAAAAGTATTTCTTTAAAATCTCAATTAAGTGTGATTAATCCTTATCTTTCTAGAGCAATATTAAACTTTTTCAATTTAAAATATTTTAATCTAAAATAAATATTAACATTCTAAAATATTGTAGTGAAATTTATAAAAATCAACACATATGTAAAATAATTTAACGTAATAATGTTATAATAATAAAAATGTTATAACCTAACAATATAATAATTTTTTATATTAAAAAAATAAAAATATAAAATAATTTTTAAAACTAATAATATAATAATAATGTAATAATATTATATAATAATACTATAATAATTTAGATTTAATAAAACATATAAATTATAAATTATAAATTCAGTTGAATTATAAATTTATTTGAAATCCTAAAAAGTATTTGAAATAAAAATTTTATATTTTATGTAAATGTATTAAAAACGTATAAAATTTGTTTAAATAAATTAGATGTAATTTTCTTAAAAAACCTTGTATTTAAATAAAACTTTGTTTTGATACTGTTTTTTAGCATTATAAATATTTTTATTTCTTGTCTTTTATATTTTTCTAATTTGTATATTCTAAACTAATCATAAATAACCTTTTTAATAAAAAAAAGAAAAATAACAAATACTTTATGTGAATATAAACTCCGAAATCCCGTAATATTTTATTGTCGAAATACAATATAATATTTATAGACTAAAGATATATTTAATTAATACTAAAATATAATTGGTGCTAATAAAACTAATATAATAAATTTTAATATTTATAAGTACCAACCTATATCCATAACTGAATTTAGACTCTTCATGATTAATTATTCTAGTTGAAGTATTAGATAATTTCTGCACAATTTGTGAAGATTGTGTATCTGCTTCATCTATATCAAAGCAAGTTTGTGGCATTTTTGTTTTCCTTGGCCCTCTCTCGTGTTGGACAGCTGTAGTAGCAAATGAATATTGGTCCCATATATTTTTGTTGTGTGCAATAAGAAGTAATTAATAATTAATTTATTGTAATTGTTACTTTAATTTTAATATTTAATTCAAGCCATTTTATCAATATGTCATGATGTAAAATAACAGTGTTTAATAATTATTAACAAAAGAAGTAAAAGACACTAAAAACCTTTCTCTTTTATAAGACAATTTTTTCGAATGTATCGTTTAACATATTTTCATAGATGTCTAGTTGTATTTTATAAAATCTATATACATTATATTTTATTAATTCATTAAAAAGTTTAGAATGAGAAATTACGTTATATATTGTATTTTAAAATTTTTATTCCCACAAAACTTCGAATATAAATTTTTCATTTCTTCATCTTTTATTAGATTTGAAGTCTATCAAATAATTTACTTTTAAAAGTTTTCATAATTAACATTTATATAAAACTTGGTCATTATGCATTTTCTAAATGAGCTACGTTATAACTCAGCATAAAAAAACAATTTATTTAATTGTTTTGTAATTGCATATATATTAAAAGAAAGATAATAAAATATTTCGATAAAATACGCGGTGAATTATTGTTATGATGACATGTTATTAATAAAAAAAAAAAAAATAATTGAAAGACAATTATCTATTGCGAGTAAAATAAAATAAATTGAATAATACATGTGTAATTATAGTAACAGATATATATATATATTACTATAATTCATTTATTACTTAAATTTTTAACACTTTCTTCTATTTTTCATCGTTTAACTTTCTCTATTTAACTTTTTAACTTTACAGTAGAATATGATATTATTGTTTGTTGTACCAGAGACAGTAATATTCTGGGAATTAATATTTATTTTATATATTAAATAACAATCGTTTAATATTACAGATACAAAATAGAATGAACAATGGAGCTATCAAGTCAATATAAAGCCACCCCAAAATGTGCCTTGATGTTCGTTGCTACGTAATACTTGTGTATCATAAATGAGACTAGTAACAGAACATATGCAGAGAATATATCCGCATCGATCTCGTTAAAACATTTATAGAAACTTCATATAACTAGAGTGTATCTCCATCGAATTTTCAACATTTTAGATTTATAAATTATCTTTTGTTTCATTATTAATTATGATTGTTTTCATTCAGTTTTTAAACCTTGTATATATTATTATTGTTTTACATTACAGGAAATTTTAAGTAAAATTTGTTTAAATCATTTTAAGAAATTAAATAATTAATGTCAAAACGGCCATTTAAATAAAATCTTATCCTATACATAAAATACTATTTAATTTTTAAAAGGTTTATGTTTTATTTTTCATTGCATAAATAAACTACAATTGACTAAAAAAATGCTTAAAATATTGTTATATTTTTTAATATATTAGTTCTACTTAATTTAATATTTATAAAAATTAATAATCAATAAATAATCAAAATAATTTTTTTCTACAAGCAATAAAAAATATATATAATTTACAAAAAATTAAATATATTTATTATAGATATTATAAAAATACTATATTGCATTGTTTTCAATTTATATTTATAGTACTGTATTTGAAAATAAAAATATCTTTTATTTTTTTAGTTATATGGAACATTCATTGAATTAATAAATTGATGGGATATAGTTTCAAAAAACATTTATAATATTTTAATTTTACTCTTTATATTTTTTAATAATTAAAAGAGCAATCAGATTAAATAAGTTTTATATGTAGTTACTGTATCGCTTCATGTATTTCAAATCAATACTATATTCATCTTGATTATTTAATATCTATCGAGGAGTACATTCATATTAGTTATTCATTGTTAGTTATTCATTATTCGTTATTTATTATCAATCGTTCATTATTCGACAATATTATATTAAAACTTCGTAGGCAAGTATTCAGCGTTATATAAATACTAGAATTTACAATAACTCTATATTATATTCATCAGACGATTTAACATAAAAATCTATAATATCTTATAAATTATAAATTACCTTTGTTATAATCAAATCGTATGATAATAATAAAGAAAATTACATCCGGAATAAAATTTTCTTATTTACGTACAAAAATTTGTATATGACGAATAAGTTGTCTAAAATTTTATATGAAGATCAATAAAAATGAATAATGTAAAAGGAATAAATTAATAAAAAATAATAAAAGTATCAGTAAATTAGGTAGGAAGAGAAAATTAAAAAATTAAATTGTAATATCTTGAAAAATGAAAAAATGTTCAATAAATTAAAATATAAAAGATAACCATTAATGATTTAACAACAATAATGATTATAGAGTACTAAAAAGAGAAGTCAAATTGATTTGAGAAAATGTACCTCAATAAGTGATTGCGATATCAAATATTGCACAAAAAATAATAAAATTATAATAAAAGGAATGAATATAATTAAATTGTATATTTATAGAGATGAAAGTTTATAAAGACACGTGAAATGAAAAATAAACCATTAAAAAAAAACAATATCGTCAAAAAAAAAAAATTGAAAATTAGTAAATATTACCCAGATAGAATAAGAAGAATAATAATGATCAGTAATAAAATATAAATAATAATAATGAATTTATAAATTAAACAAAATTAAAACCACAAGAATAGTAATTGAAAAATAAATAATCTAAAAGAACTGGTATCACGATAATATTAAACAGTCAATAATAAAAGTAAAAAAGTTGAAAATTAAACAAAAGAGAAAACTGTATAATTGACTATTTTTTATTAAAATATAATTTATTACAACAAATGAATAGTATAAAAATATTACAAAATTATATATTATAAAATTATTAAAAATAAAATTTATCAAAATTGTTATAATTTTTCTATGCAATAAATTTTTAAAGTTATAAAATTGAAGATTTTTATTTAAAATACATATCAGAAACAAAAATAAGAGAGGGAAATAGGTTAATAATAACAGGGCATTGAATTAGAGAAAAGTTACAATAAATTTAGAAAATGGGATAAAGAATAAAAATTAGATAAACAATAAAAATGGAATAATATTAAAAATTAGTAATAATTAATAGTAAAGCCAACACAATTTATACATCGATAAGATATACGTCGCCTCGTTAATAATTTAAATGGATGTAGATTTTACATTACTCATCTTAGATCATTTTAGTTCAATTTTTTAATTCATTTTAGATCAACCACACTCATGTTTTGATATTCTATGATATTAAGCACCGTTTATGAAACACAGCTTAAAGCAGGAGTTCTCGGCAATTTATCAAATTTTGTTGTTGCATCACTTTGATGATAAATTTCTTAGAGACTGTTTATCTCCTTGTTATGATAAATGAATTTCATTCTGTAGAAAATGAAATAATTTAAACCTACATTACTAACAATTCTCTCGAAGATGAATATTGGTCGGTTTTTTTCATAATTAGCTCTTATTCCCTTGATTCTTATCACTAATTTTTTTTTTACTGCACCTTGATATTTATATTATATGTTTTGCGAACTGCTTTTTTCAAATATTTTTTCATCTATTTTCCCTACGTGCATTTCTCATATCTAGCTCTCTTATTTATATATATTTGTTGATTTAATCAGCATTTTCTATTGCAGCGATAGTCTGTAACGATTATATGGTTCTTTACAAAGTAAACAATTATAACTTTACTCTATTATTGAATTGTATCTTTTACTCAGCCAATATTTTTCAAAATATAAAAGTTAATAGCTATTAACTAATTTTATTATATTTTCTATCCCGCCATAACTTTATCTGTCAATCTTGTTTTCTATATCATATTTTATTCCGCATAATTCCAACTAATAGAGTTTAAACCGAATCTTTTCATTTGAAAATCTATATAAAAATTTATTGTAATTTTAATTAATTTTTTCTATCCTCCATACCTACTATAATTTGCAAATAAAAACTAGGAGTAGGTATAGAATGGGTCCTATATGTTATTTCCTCAAGTCACATCAACTGTATTTTCATTCCTTTTTATAGTTTAATTTTTTCGAATTAGTAGCCAAATCTATGACATCAAAACGATCTATCATAAAAGCAAATCAGACGACCCAATCACATTTTGAATATTATTATTGCATTTATCTTTATTAAATTATATATAAAAAAAATAATAAAAATGAAAATTAGTTTAATAAAATAAAAAATAGAAGATAAAAGTGATTATAAATCACATTATTATTTGAATATATTTGATGATCACACTTCATAGTGATATAATAATATTATAACATTTGTAACATCTGTAACTTTATTTTTAGTAGATATTTAGAAAATCCTCTGTAAAAATTTATATGAATATTATATTTATTAGTTACTCTTAGTATCCAAGTTCCTAAATATATTAGTAATATAGCAATAATTTTTGTTGTGTTATTCGATTAGAATATGAATTTTTTATGAGTATAAAGGTGTTTTATGACTATCTTTAATTTAAATGTTTATATACCTCGAACTCGATATATTATTTTGAAACAATACATATATATGTAATAAAATTTCTTACTTATAAATACAATTAAGTTTTACTTTTTTGTCAATAATACATACAATTCAATATAAGGGAATGCCTTCATTTGAAAAATTAGAAAGTGCATAGAAAAATAATCCAATTTATATAGACAAAAATATTATTTTCTATTTGAACTCAGTGGTATATATATATATTGAATTGAAGATACCATAATGTTAGATAGATCATTAATTATAATTTATTTCGATATATTTAAGAGCAAATATATATTATATATTCTAATAACAAATAAAGAAATTCAATTGATTCTCAGATATCATAAATTATGCATATAACTTAAACAACTATTTAATCTTATAAATCACCGACAATTTCCCAATTCTGTTGGTTGCATTATATATTTGAATTAACGATAATACTATTTACATAAATGAATATTTACTATAATGGAAGCACTT